ATTAATTTAAACTATAAGAACAGTTAGCAAGAAGCCTGCCACGGCCATACAGTTTGTAAGCAATATAAGTCTCTGTGTTTACTTGGTTGGGTCTGAGAGGCTGTGAGACTGGCAGGTGACAGATTTGTCCTGACTGTGGGCAAGGCAGGAAAACTCTAGCTACACATTAACATAACTAGTGAGAATCCCACAGATCCAAAATATTGAAGAGGGCCATGTCTTTGCACATCTAAGGAAAGGATAAGAATAATTGAAAACTGCCTCCTGCTCACACCATTTACACATTACATCAGGTTTCTATGTTCACCACAAGCCACTGCAGAGCTATGAACTAGACTCTGTTATCTCAGTGGACACAAGCCCATAAGGCACTCAACATGCTGAATGTGAGTCCTCACTTCTGCCAATGAGTTCTTAAAAACCATCAGGTCCTTCTGAGAGGTTTACACAACCAACATTAAGTGGAAGCATATTCTAAAACACACCAAAGTGATAGCAGATTATATAGCATTCTGTGTCCACTTATGTCCTCTAAGCTCAAAGGAGGAGACTGGAGCAGGTAACCTGGGCACAGCCCAGATGGGCACGGAGCTTACTAACTGTTCTCAGCTGAAGCCTGAACTTGAGATTTGCACAGCGGAAGGACACTATTTGTAGTAAACTAGATGTTTCACGCTGCATGGCAGAAGCAACAATTTCAGGATATATTTAAGTTTCAGATGGGATGAAAATATCACAGCAAAGATTAAAAAGACTAAAGAGATGGTACAAACAATGTTTAAGGAAAAAAGAGCAAAAGACAAAAAATAAAACAAGAATGGAAGGAGCTGGCAGCATGCCTAGCATCCCAGCATCTAGAACAGTTCTGGCCAAATCTAGACCAGATCACTGCCCCAAGTGTTGAATGTTCTCAGAATGGGCAATTAATGAAAGCGGAAAAACAAACACAGGCAACTAAAGGTTGAAAATGTATATTTAGGAAAGGAAGGTGAACAATACCAGTATTTTTAAGATGGGAAAAGAGAGATAATGAAGCTCCACAAAGGTAGAGAGTACTTGATTTAAAAAAAAATCAGAAAAGTAGAGTCTGAAAGATCAAAAAGTTTTAACAGTCTGTTTCATGAGAATGTAAACATATTTCATACTATTAATCCTTGAACTTAAAAATGATTAGAAATGACAAATCTTGTGCTATACTTTTTTAGGACTTCTCACTATGTAGCTCACAATGGCCTTGAAGTCACATCCTG